GCCCGCCACAACGCCTGGCCATTTTTTGGTTGCAGCCACCATTGTTGTTTGGCGGGCCGGGCTGGGGATTCGAACCCGCCACCCTAGGTGTATGTGGCTGGCACCCTAGCCGCTTGAGCCACAGGCGCCGAGCCCAAATTTTCATTTTAAAAAGATCCCTCTGGGCAGTGCCTATGGCTCAAAGGAGTAGGGTGCTGGCCCCATATACCGGAGGTGGCAGGTTCAAACCCAGCCCCAGCCAAAAAAAAAAGATCCCTCTGGCTGGGTGGTGCCTGTGGCTCAGTGAGTAGGGTGCTGGCCCCATATACCAAGGGTGGCGGGTTCAAACTCGGCACCAGCCAAACTGCAACAACAACAAAAAAGAGCCAGGCATTGTGGCAGGTGCCTGTAGTTCCAGCTACTTGGGAGGCTGAGGCAAGAGAACCACCTACACCCAAGAGCTGGAGGTTGCTGTAAGCTGTGATGCCACAGTACTTTACCAAGGGCAACAAAGTAAGACTCTGTCTCTAAAAAAAAATAATAATAATAAAAAATAAAATAAAATAAAATCCCTCTGGCTGAAGGATTCAACCCTCCGTCCTCCTCTTACCCCTCAATATACACTCAGGTACTGAGGTTGCTAAATTCTACTGGCTGATCTTACCTCCTTATCCACCGTGTTTCTCAATATCTCCCACAGGGACTACTGCAATGTTCCTAACTCGTCTTCCTGCCTCCCACTCCACCTCCTCCACACAAAGTTGATCTTATTTGCTCTTTACAACATGAATGTAAGTAAGTAAAGCTGCAACCCTTATCCCTGTTTTACAGATAAGAAAACTGAGGTCTTGTGGTGCTATGGAGCTGGCTCATGCCCACTTATGAAAGTGAAAGTTAATTGTTAGCCCAGCATTGTAGTGGGAGCCTGTAGTCCCAGCTACTTGGGAGGCTGATACAAGAGAATCCCTTAAGCCCAAGAGTTTGAGGGTGCTGTGAGTTGTGGCACCACAGCACTCTACCGAGGGAGACAAAGTGAGACTTATCTCAAGAAAAAAAAAAGTTAATTGTTAACATTCCATAAATTTTGCTAGCCAGTTGTTGAACAGTCACTATTAAAAATTAAGTTATATAAATTTAAATTAATAATATTTTTTTTTTTTTGCTAGAGACAGAATCTCACTTTGTGCCCTTGGTAAAGTGCCATGGGATCACAGCTCACAGCAACCTCCAGCTCTTGGGCTTAGGTGATTCTCTGGCCTCAGCCTTCCCAGTAGCTGGGACTACAGGCGCCCACAACGCCCGGCTATTTTTTGTTTACAGTTTGGCCGGGGCCAGGTTTGAACTCTCCATCCTTGGTATATGGGGCTGACACCCTACTCACTGAGCCACAGGCACCACCCATAAATTTAAATTATATTAAAAATAGGGGCAGCACCTGTGGCTTAGTGAGTAGGGAGCCGGCCCATATACCGAGGGTGGCGGGTTCAAACTCGGCCCCCTGGCTCGGCGCTTGTGGCTCAAGTGGCTAAGGCACCAGCCACGTACACCTAAGGTGGCGGGTTTGAATCCAGCCCGGGCCGCCAAACAACAATGACGGCTGCAACCAAAAAATAGCCGGGCGTTGTGGCAGGTGTAGTGGTCCTAGCTACTTGGGAGGCTGAGGCAGGAGAATTGCCTAACCCCAAGAGTTGGAGGTTGCTATGAGCTGTGACTCCACAGCACTCTACCAAGGGCAATAAAGTGAGACTCTGTCTCTAAAAAAGAAAAGATAAATAAAGAAATTATATTAAAAACAAAGGTAATAGATGATTAAAGCTCATCGCTTCCTAATAATTTTACCTATGCTCATGGGATTATTTATGTCTTGTGTCTGCATGATTGAACTATTATACTATCTAATGGTATTTTTTTTTTGAGACAGAGCCTCAAGCTGTCCCCCTGGGTAGAGTGCTGTGGCATCATAGCTCACAGCTACCTCCAACTCCTAGGCTCAAGCAAGTCTCCTGCCTCCACCTCCTAAGTAGCTGGGATTACAGGCTCCCGCCACAATGCCTGGCTATTTTTTGGTTGCAGCCGTTATTGTTGTTTGGCAGGGCCAGGTTGGATTTGAACCTGCCAGCTCAGGTGTATGTGGCTGGCGCCTTTGCCGTTTGAGCCACAGGCTCCAAACTCATCTAATGGTATGTTACAGCTCATCTCTTCCAATCTGTGTGGCTAGCAAGTGAAGCTGATAGATTGAAATCAGCCATGGTGGGAATATGCTTTTATACTATGGAACCAAACAAGTGCTATATATCAGGGCTTAATTTATTGTTTTGTTGATTATCTAGACTTAAGCAAGCGAGGGAGAAAGTGTTAATTCCGATTTAAACTTAATGTGTTGGGCGGCGTCTGTGGCTTAGAAAGTAGGGCGCTGGCCCCATATACCGAAGGGTGGGGGGTTCAAACCCGGCCCCGGCCAAACTGCAACAAAAAAATAGCCCGGCGTTGTAGTGGGTGTCTGTAGTCCCAGCTGCTTTGGAGGCTGAGGCAAGAGAATCGCTTAAGCCCAGGAGTTGGAGGCTGCTGTGTGCTGTGATGCCATAGCACTCTACCAAGGGCAAGAAAGTGAGACTCTGTCTCTAAAAAAAATAAATAAATAAACTTAATGTGTTATGTCTGAAGCCTTAGGAATAGCACAAAAATTGAGGAACTACCCTTTCAGTATTTGAAACTGTTTTCTGATTCAACAATGAAGCCACTCCCATTATTAACAATCCCATTAAGTTTTGTCCTTTTCTTATCTTTATTTTTTTAAATAGAGACAAAGACTCACTTTGTCACCCTTGGTAAAGTGTATGGCGTCACAGCTCACAGCAACCTTCAACTCCTGGGCTTAGGCGATTCTCTTGCCTCAGCCTCTCAAGTAACTGGGACTACAGGCGCCTGCCACAATGCCTGGTTATTTTTTGTTGTTGCAGTTCGGTGGGGCTGGGTTTGAACCCATCATCCTCAGTATATGGGGCTTGGCGCCCTGCCCACTGAACCACAGACGCCGCCCAGTTTGTCTTTTTTTTTTTTCCACTTTCCTCTAACATTCACATAGAGGAAATTATCTAGCAACATTTATGTCGCAATTACACTCCGTGGTCAATTGCAACCAGTTTGGCTACCCCTGTATGAATTTGGCAAAAATCCATGACAGCATTCTGTGAGAATCAGTTATGTGGAATTTGATGTTGTATATTATTTGTAAATTGTGCACTACACATTTTTTTTTTTTAATAAGGAAGCTTTATTTTTGTTTTCCCGGTGCAGTTTTTGGCCAGGGCTGGGTTTGAACCCGCCACCTCCGGCAGATGGGGCCAGCGCCCTACCCTTTTGAGCCACAGGTACCACCCTCTTTTTTTTTTTTTTTTTTTTTTTTTTTTGATACAAAGTCTCACTTTGTTGCCCTCAGTAGAGAACTGTGCTGTCACAGCTCACAACCTCCAAACTCCAACTCTTGGGCTTAAGCGATTCTCTTGCTTCAGCCTTCCAAGTAGCTGTGACTACAGGCGCCCACCACAGCACCCGGCTATTTTTTGTTGCAGTTGTTATTGTTGTTTGGCTGGCTTTGGCTGGCTGGTTCGAACCCGCCACCCTGGCTCTGTAACCACTTTGCTACGGGCGCTGAGCCCACATCCTTTATATTAGTAAATCCAATGATAAATTTATGTATCTATGTACACATACACTCCCTTTCCACACCAGAGCCATTTATCAGTACACCAATGGATCTAGAACAAATTAATCATGTAGTCATTCCATAACATTCACTGGATCCCAGGAGGGAGATACAGATTAGTAAGTGGTGAAATGACTGCCAAGGTCACACAAGTCAAGCGGCAAGGCCAGAGGCTCTCTCTCAGGACCCGACTACTGTTCTCAATGCCGCTTCACATTCCCAACAGGTACCTCCTAGACATGGGTACCCAGGAAATGAAAGGCAAGGGCCGGGGAAGCAGAATAAAGCCAGCTGAGAACCAGATCACAACCAATAAGCAGCCCCGGGCGCACGTAGCGTCAGGTGCCAAGAAGGCCAGCGCGAGCTCGCCTTGGGGAAGGGGCGTGGCGAAGGTTTCCCGGAAGTGACGTAGTAGGGCGGTACTCCGCGGCGGCGGCGGCGGCAGCGGCGCGCGGCTTGGGCTTGCGCTGGGCTCCGCGCGCCCCCCGCCCCCCTCTATGAGGCAGAGGCCGCGGCGGCCGTTAGCGCTGTCGCTCCGGGGGCCGCGGCGGGCGGGGCTCCGGCGGGGCCCGGCCTAGTCCCCACCCCAGCCCGGCTCCCAGCCGCCCGCCCTCCCTCCCTCTCCCCGATGCAGGGGGCCGAGCTCCGGGATGGCGAGGCGGCGGCAGCGGCCGCTTCGTACCGCGTCTTGAGCCGCCTCCTCGGCTACGGAGAGGCGGCCCCCGAGCCAGGCCTGCCGCCGCCGTCCCCGGGCCATGGCCCCCCGCCGCCACCCTTCCTCTCGCGGTCCGGCCCGCGGGGCTCCCGGCCGCCTCAGCTGATGGTGTTCCGCAACGTGGGTCGGCCGCCTGAGGAGGAGGACGCGGAGGCGGCCCCAGAGTCGGGACCCTCGGAACTGCTGTGTCCTCGGCACCGCTGTGCCCTGGACCCCAAGGCCCTGCCGCCCGGGTTGGCACTCGAGCGGACCTGGGGCCCCGCGGCTGGACTAGAGGCGCAGTTGGCGGCTCTAGGGCTTGGGCAACCGGCGGGGCCAGGGGTCAAGACGGTCGGTGGGGGTTGCTGCCCGTGCCCGTGCCCCCCGCAGCCGCCCCCTCCCCAGCCTCAGCCGCCTGCTGCCACCCCGCAGGCCGGGGAGGACCCCACGGAAACAAGCGACGCGCTGCTGGTCCTGGAGGGGCTGGAATCGGAGGCCGAGAGCCTGGAGACTAACAGCTGCTCGGAAGAGGAGCTCAGCAGCCCGGGCCGTGGAGGAGGAGGAGGCGGCCGACTTCTCCTGCAGCCCCCAGGCCCTGAAATACCCCCAGTGCCCTTCCCGCTGCAGGACTTGGCCCCTCCGGGGCGCCTGAGTAGAGGGGAGCAGCAGCAGCAACCTCTCCCGCCGCCACCACCTCCGGGGCCCCTCCGGCCACTCGCAGGCCCTTTTCGGAAGGGATCCTTTAAAATCCGCCTCAGTCGTCTCTTTCGCACGAAGAGCTGCAACGGTGGCTCCGGCGGTGGGAATGGGACCAGCAAGAGGCCTTCTGGAGAGCTGGCTGCTTCAGCTGCGAGCCTGACAGACATGGGAGGCTCTGCGGGCCGGGAGCTAGACGCGGGGAGGTGAGACCGGCTGGGGGTGCTGGTTGACAAACTTCCTTTTCTTGTTTCGTTTCCCCATTTTTCTCCTGCTGACAGGATCCTGACAGTTCTTAAGATATGATCTTCATGAGGAGGCAGACATTTGGGACCAAAGGTGGTGACATCTTGCTTTGGGTCACAGCTAATTGTGGAAACAGCTTTCACTCTTTTAAAAAAGAGTTCACGCTCCATGACACTTCTCAGCTGGTTAACATCTCTTGTCCAAAAATGATTTCAAACCATCCCCCCATCCCACCCTAGCAGGGTTTTTAGAGGTATCTGTTTGTCGTTATCCCTGGCAATAAGGTTGCTGGAAATATTTGGCCTTTGGGGCAGAAAGCTGTGTTGCATCTGGCCCATTTTATTAATCTGTATACTAGCACCCTCCCACACACACACACACATGTACAAATGACTTGGGGATCTTCGATTGTAGTTGTAGGCCAGCATTCAATTGGGCATCTCTATTCAAAGTCTTAAGTATTTTCTTGGTTGTTGATATCTCAAACCTGTGTACTGACCACTGTGAGAACAGAAAATATGTTTGCTCTCTCTCAAGCCCACTTGAGGATTCTAAGTATCAGTGAGGTATAGATATTGGTATAGGAGTTCTACTCTAGTTGATGAAAATCCCAAATATAGACATTGAGTTTTTTCCTGCATTTCTGAAGGGTGGACTGATCTTTGACATCCAATGTTAGATCTGTAATGTTGATTTAGAATCCTGTCAACTTTTATGTCAATGAAATGAGACTTCCCTTGTGGTAACTGCCATTGTGGTTTGTGCTTCTGAATAGGTTCTTAGAAAGATTGGAATTGGTTTTGATGTGGTTTATGTGATGGATTCTTAAGACATACTGGGAGACACAAGCCAAGGCTAAAGAATAAGTATAAATTGATCACTTGGGAAGCTTTTTGAAAAGATGGGTATGTCTGGGACCTAAGAGTTTGAATTTTTAAGAAGCTCTCCAATTGATCCTGGTCTGGAAACCACTCATACATGGCCTTTTCAAGGGAACTTGAGTATTCCAAGAGGAAAGTTTTTTTTTTTTTTTACTTTTTTGCCCTTTGTGAACAGCTGTGCCATGGACTTATCTTGGGGATCAGTCCAAATCCACACTCCCTAAAGATGTTAGTGTGTTGTGCCTTCAGATAGGCCAATGTTTCTGCATTTCCCTCCCAATGAATTCATGCTGAGAGCTCAGTTCTTAAAAAACATGTGGCTGCTAAAACAGCTTTTTTTTGTGGTGGGCTCTGTATTCAATGCTCCACTTACCAGTACAGATGAAATTTTCATCAGATGGGGTGGGGGTGTGGGGTAAGGAATGGGATTGAAGCTGTGGGCAGTGACATAGTAGGATAGATTGCTAATTTTCTTGTGGTTTGTCTTGCCTTTGTTCCATATTGACCAGGACTTAGTCTAAAATTCCAGAGACACCAAATATGAGGTGTGGCGTGAAATTAGCTGCTACGTCTCATAGATTAGGAAGAGGAAAAGGTATATAACATTATACGGTTTTTTGCCTTTGGAAGCAGAATTTAATGGTCATTGGCTGCTCGTCACCAACCCTCACACTAAGCACAATACAGATTTCTGCTGCAGAGCAAATTGGACTATAGCTCTGCAAAGAAGCTTAGTTCAGGGCACTGGAGAATTACATTTTTTGGTCCAAGGACTTTTTCTGATGAATTGGAGAAGAGCTAGGTATTTATGTATAAACATTTGGTTGACTACTGGTTGGAGGCAGCATATTGTACAGAGAATGTAAAAGTCTAGATTCCTTTTAGAACTCCAACATCAGCTGTGAGATGGAGGCCAAATTTGTTGTCTTCATGGTTCCCTTTTTTCCCCATCTGTAAAATGGGAGAGTGATGACTGTGTTGTTCCTGTCCTAATAGGAATAGATTGTCGACAAGAGAAATCTAGATGGAATATTTTTGTGCTTTTTTAGAGGAGAAGTCGTAAGATGGAACTGGTAAATTTTTTATGCTTAGGATTTGGTGCTGCTTCTTAGCTTTTCCACAGCTTACTATGTGCCAGTCTTGCTGGCAGCGTCACAGCTGTGAGAAACTTGGTGAGTCTGGCCAGGGTAGTTGTGATTTCTGTGGATCTGCACCTCCTAAGTAAGTCTGTGATGTTGGGAGGAAGGATGAGTTTGGATTTTTATCTTGTTCTCTTGTTTTGATTGGTAGGACCTGGAAGTGGTGAGAAATTTCAATCTTTTGCCAAAGGGCATATGTCTTCCTCCTTTATTGGTTGGAGATAATTATGGGCTTCTGCTTTCTTTGCTGTATAATTTGGGGGTTTTATAGTAACCTCTGGGCATAATTCTCTTTCCTTTTCTCAATATCTGCCTCCCTACAATCATTTTGTAAGGGTTAACAGTTCCATGTTTTAACACTAAGCAGATCTACCTTTCAGATGTTTTTGAGTTTGCTAAGTGGACCTGCCTGGATAGACTGTGTCTTAGTGTAATATGAATTAGCTTAGAAAACTCTAAGTGAAGTAAGAAGTGGGCTCACCAACTAACCAGGTTTCTGTTTTGAGGAACTAGGGCTCTGTTCTGGGCTAGGCCTTGTAATGTACATATGTTGGAATTCAAAGAGCTGGGCTTGATGCCTGTGGGCCTTGGTGCAATATAGAATTGCTATTTCAGGAAAACCAGTGGAGTTCCTTTGTCTGGTTCTTATATGTTGACTTGATTGTCTTCTTTTTGATTTGGTGAGAAATAGCATTTGATCTTACTATTTTTAATAATTGTGTAATACACACTTGGTTGGAGATGAGTCCCTTGTTCACTTTTCAAGATTTGTTTTTACCGTGTTAACTGTTGTGTGGGAGTCTTCATAGTATAGTGAGGTGGAGAATTATTTGAGAAAAAAGGTAGAATTCTGGAAAAAGATGCAGGCTGCTTTAACATCAGTTTTTTCGGGCCCTGCTCTTACAGACAGACCTGGCAGACATGAGAAACCTTTTTCATGGTTTCCTTTGGTCTTAAGGTCTAAAGGGACCTTTTTTCTTTCTTTCTTTTTTTGAGACAGACCCTCAAGCTGTTGCCCCGGGTAGAGTGCAGTGGCATCATAGCTCACAGCAACCTCCCAACTCCTGGGCTCAGTTGATTCTCCTGCCTCTGCCTCCCAGGTAGCTGGGACTAAAGGTGCCCGCCACAATGCCCAGCTATTTTTTGGTTGCAGCCGTCGTTGTTTGGCAGGCCCGGGCTGGATTTGAACCCGCCAGCTCAGGTCTATGTGGCTGGCGCCTTAGCCGCTTGAGCCACAGGCACTGAGCTTAAAGGGGTCTTTTTGAGTCATAGCATGACATGCTGAGAGCAAAATGATTTTATGGTGTGGTGAGTTTCCTGATTTTATGTTTGAGTGTGGGAGTCCCCACTCTGTTGATCTTTTTTCCACAGTGTTTGTGGTAGGTGCCTCTCTTTTAGAATGAGCTCCCTGGCTTTAAAAATCTCTGTCCATTTGAGTCTGGTGCCTTTCACTCTTTAGCATTCTCCCTAACAACATCATTCTGAAGGTTTTAGATGTTGGTCTCTGCCTCTTGGCTTTTCCCTGGAAGTTCCCTCTGTAGGTTCTTTAGTTGGTTCATGAAGGAGTTTTGGATCTGACCTTGCTGCACAGATGTCTGTGTATTGGAACTAAAAATGAACACATGGTTTTTGTGCCTGTAGCACACGAACAGACACTGGCTTATGACATGTTGGAAATGGCACAGGCTGGCTGACTTGGCACTGTGTGCTTTAGCAGGGGCAGAGGTATATTGGAGCTGTAAAACCTGGTATTTGGACATTACAATTTGGAAGTTACTTTTAGAAAATGACATGTAAAATCTTAGGGCATCAGTAGAGGAGATTTATGGGCAAGAAAAGGAGGTCATCACTATTTCATTGTTTATATTTTGTGTTTCAAGGAATTTGAAAACTGGCCAGTGGTTACATCTATGTGTTGTCATTCTGTCTAGTCTAATGCATTTAACTCCTTTTATCCCATAAATATGTTGCAATACAATTAATAATTTGCAAAGAGGAAATGGATAGAGGCATTCTGTCTTTTTGTTACCTACAGCATAGGCAGTGGCAGAGCTGACACAAAGGACTGCTGGCTAGTCTTGGAGAAGACCTTGCCTAAGGCCTTCTGCCCCTGTCCTATTCTGTCACAGCCCTCCAAATCTTGTCCCATCCCATTCTACCCCTCCAAGTGACAACTGCACCTTAATACTTATCAATGTGATCTGGGAGGAATAAATAACATGGGCATGTAGTATTGAAGGGTTAATTTAAAATGTTATCTGGAGCCATATCATTCATATTGCTCTCCAGAAAAACAGCACAACAGTTTAGAATGGGGTCTTATAATTTCAAATGGTTCATATATACAAAAGGGATATATACAGTGCATGAATTTGAATAATACGTACTTAGATGCCCATCACTAAACTTATCAAATAGAATGTTATCAGTACCTTTGAAGACCTAAGTGTTGCTTCCTAATTTTATTCCTTACTTCTCTCCCAGGTAACTATCATCCTTAATTCTCTATTGATTATTCTCTTGCTTTGTGTTTTTATAGTCATCTAAATTGATCTTTTCATGAATGACTGCCATTAGAATGCTCTCAGGGTCCTTGAGAAAGAAACTGCTTTGGATTTTTAGTTAGGTGGCGTCTTCCTGAAGATAGAAGAAAACACACGGATTTTAGTAGCCTTTCAGCCCTTAGACCTTTTATCTTTCCAAATTTCCAGCCATGAGGCTCCCATACTTGCCAGGAAAAATTATCCTGCTGCTCTCAAGTGGCTTTGCCTGAATTCAGATGTTTTTCTTTTTCTAGATCCTAGAAACTATGATTTTTCTTTTTCAAAATGCTGGGGGCGGGGAAGAAGATGAGCCGAAGTGAGAAGGCCTCCGCAAGATGTGTGCATTTGGGTCCTGCCGTTCTTCAGGGCTTGGCACCAAAGAGGCTCGTCCCCAGCATGGGCAGATGGCAGAGTAATGCAGTTTCCTTTCAAAAGAGGCAAATGGCCAAATGGCTGAGGTGTGAACCTTTTGAAAGGCCAGCGCTTTAGGTTTCTACTTGCTGAGTTTAATGTTGTACCTGTAAGTTATCAAATAAAAATCAGCTTGGAAGCTCTTTGGCAGTCTTAAGTTCATGTCCAGTGGAATTAACTTGCCATTCCAGCCCTCTTGTTGTTGGAACCGAGCTGCGGACAGTCATAGCATCTTTTACAAGCAGAGGGATTGTGTGTGGTTGTATCTTGTTTTCATGCTGCCACCTCTCTAGTATATTCTGGGTGGAGTGTTCACACAGTGCATCATCATCAGACTTCTCAAGTCCCAGCATGGAAGAGGTTGCAGAGGGAGTATGAAGATAGGTGAAGAAGGAAACACCAGTGTTTCAACTCTTGTTGAATAAGGCCTTCCTGGTATGGTTTCAGAATTTTGTTTGAAATGTATTATGAGAAGCCCAGATGTCTTTGTAAAAACAAAAATGCATAGGCCTGTCCTGGTGGTTCATACCTGTAATCCTAGCTCTCTGGGAGGCTCAGGCAGGAGGATTGCTTAAGTTCAGGAGTTGAAGACCAGTCTGAGCAAGAGCAAGACCCGTCTCTACTAAAAATAGAAAAACTGCCAGGTGTGGTGGCTCATGCCTGTAGTCCCAGCTACTTGGGAGACTGAGGCAAGAGGATTGCTCAAGCCTTAGAGTTTGAGGTTGTTGTGAGCTATGATGCTACTGCACTCTACCCAGGGTGACAGAGTGAAACTCTGTCTCAAAAAAAAA